TTCAGACGTGTGCTCTTCCGATCTGTAAACATTTTATTGATACAAAAGTTCTGCAGCTCATATGTATGTATACATACATACATACAAAAAAAGTACCTAGCGGGCATCGGATTACTTGCATGAATAATACAAGACGTTTTGAGCTATGATTGGAAGCATAGAAAAAAAGTTGTTTATTAGAATGCAATTTGTGGTAATTCGTACGCTCGGCGGATGCGATTATTGATGTCACTTTTTTTTTAAATGGGCTCTACACTAATAAACAGATAATTAATTATTTAATAGATATTAATCATATTACATTATACATTATATATGTAATTTTTCTAAAAACAATAGTGTAGTCAACAATTGTATAATCATCTTAATATTTCTAATTAATTTTTCTTTAAAAAATATGTGGAAAAGAAACATTTGTGATTTAAGGATATGTGGAAATCTGAAATGGAAAAGCATAAATAACAGCTGCTCAAAGAGAGCTTTATTTAATCTGGATAGATTTATTTACATTTTGATAGTATATTTACGACGCCGCGTAATTTGTAAGAATAGTAAATGATAGAGTTTTATGTTATTTATAAAACCGCCTCGTATCTGCATCTTAGTATACATATATATCTCATATTAATATTTACAACACCGATTAAAAAAGCTGTCTTGTACATTCTTCGCGTTACAAATATGTACAGCGTTCCTCCTGTATACTCGGAATAATAACAAACTACGATTGCGCTATTAGAACACATAATTCCTACACTCTCTGGAGAATACTTGTTAGTTAATAAATCCTCTTTTTCACAATTTTATGTATTTCAAACGGGAAATACTTCAATTTCTAATTTGTTATTACTTCATAACTATCTCGTTTAATTTAATCGATATAACAATTCTGCAATGAAAATTTCTCACATTGCTATATTGCACTATCTAGATCGTGTTCCGATATATACTGCTAATACTGAAATTTTATAGTTCATATTACGTATACTACAAATTTTTAGTACTAGAATATATCGGAACAGGACCCTAGTATTTAGATGAATCTCGTAAAGAGATCTTTCTTTATTATTCTCCCTGACATGATCACAAAGTCGAAAACGGCAAAAATTACATAAAATATAAAATTTCCATGAGAGCATCAATTTAAAAACACTATTCGCATTTTGATTATTGTACTGCAACGTCGTAAAAATAATATATATATCGACTGATGAGCAGAATAAATTGTAGCGATGTAGATTTTTTCGCGATTGTGTATGCAACTACTGAAGTCACGCTTATAACAATGAACATGGTATTTACTCTACCATTAGAGCGTAATTATGCAGCTTAAAAACTTATTATCTTTCTTTCCATATTAGAAATCAGAAAATTGTTATTCTCAGATTTTTCACACGTCAAAACATTACACAAGTAAACTACTAACTCTGTACTTCACTTCAACTATTAATGTAAATCCGCGTTCTCAGTAAAAAGAAAAGAATGTATTGGTCAAACACCATTAAGGGTCGACGTGTTGTGAACTGGTGCCCGTAATAAATCATGATATTGTAACAGAGCCTCTCGCAAGGATCTAGACACTTGACCAGAAGTAGTCGCGATCGTGCATTCCACTAAGCATGGGTATAATCCTATCAGCTGCTCCCATACTGATCTTTCAACTAAAGTATAAACAATCGTTTGTTAAGCATGTATACCACAACGGATATTATTTTATATTTTATTTTATAAAAAATCAAAAAATAAAAATGTACCTTTATTCGGAGGTGCTTTCTTAAGCGATACTACGAGAGTGGCAACGGCTTTCAGAACAAACGATATTTCCGACAATCTGTACCTAGAAAAGGTTTCTATAATAAGTACTTAAAATAACTTGCATTTTAGATATAAAATATTTATTAAAGTAAAAGATTCATTAGAATAAAATAAAACTATTTTCAGTATGATGGAAGATACTATTACCTAGGCAAAGGACATTTTCCACTCCGTCTCTCGCTTTCAATATATCGCCGTAAAACTTCTTGAAATCTGTGCAGAAGAGCCGTAACTGCCAAACGTCCAGCAATTCCGCCCTCGTCACTTTCTGAACTCTTTTTAGGACTATTTTCTGCATCATTGTTCAGTCCGTCTAATAAAGAAAATTGCAATAAAGTCTCGAAACAAGTTTTCGCAAATTCTTCCCGTAATTTCGTTTCTGCTCCATTTTCTACAAAAGAAAAAGACATTCCTTTCATTAAAGAATAAATATTTAATAGAAAGATTTTGTAAAAAATTTAAATATTAAATGTACCGATATTTGCTGTGGTGGCTGAATGTATGGAACCTTTATTTAAAAGCATAACAACTCTAAGTATAAACTGATGAGGTATGTGCTGAGAATGTGGCAATACTTCGTCCCTCAATAACTCCATAACCTGACAATCTACCGCCTCGTCAGCCTGGATCTCTTCTACCCCTCGTTCTACATTCAGTACGCTGCAATTGACAAGCGAAATCCATTTATTGTCATGCTTTCAAAATATAATAAGATAAATAATCCGCTGGATAGATACATCAGAATCGACCATTTACCTTTTAGGGAACAAGAAATCGTCCAGCGTGCTCGCAAGCTCAAGCCACATGCTCTGGAATTGCTCGGGATATTTTCTAGCGAGCGGTAGCCCGGTGTGCAAGACAGCTAAAAGACTAGTCACGGCTAGTTTCCATGTGGTTGCGGATGGGCACGCGTATTTCATGGCTAACGGTACGTGCAGCGCTTCCACAATGTACTTGAGCACCTGACCGTCGATTACGGCCATCTCGTGCGCAGTTTTCTGATACAGATTCACGACCATCGATAGAGCTTTCTCGCCAAACGGGACATAATTCATGGTGACCCAATCAGCGGACACGCCTCTGACCTGAGAGATATGTTTCGTGGGTATTTTACCGTATGTCGGGGCTTCGCACGCAAGTTTCGAGAAGTTCAGCAACTGAAGGAATATCAGTACAATCATCGTGCGCAAATTGTCCGGACCGTTTAACGCTTCTTTTTGCAGAAGCTCCATGGAGTGCAGCACCTCGTCTTGCAAATGAGTAAGAACCACGTCGGGTACCGATGGCAGAATGTACGGCGTCGATTCGCCGTGCACCGGAACGGCCACCGCGTTCTTCAGGACGATACATAATTTTTGCAGATCGGGGCCGGTAAACTTATTTCTAATGTGCTGGAAAACACCTGGAAATATATGCATAAGCGCAGTTAAAAATGCCTGGGAGGGCACATAAGGATCGGTGTCGCTTTCTTGCGGCGGAGCAGTGCTCTCCATTCCAATATTTAGCCAGACGCGCCACGTCACCGTCCACAAGCCTTCTGAATCGTTCGATTGAATCACCTCGGTGCTGTCGCTTCCCTTCGGTTGAAAGAGGATCTCTTGGAATGATTTCAGTGCCGCTAACGATACCTCGTTGTTTTTACTAAGCGCAGAATTCTCGATAAATTCGAGGAGCAATGACCACGCTCTGGGAAAGTCCCCTAACATTTGCAACAGCTGACGTTTCGTATTAAACACTCTGGCTACGCCGCTTAATGTCAAAACTTGCGTCTCCGCCCATTGCTTCTGCGCTGTATTTCTGCTGTGATGAATAAGTATGTTTCCACTGGTATCGACTTTTTCGCTGCTAGCCGAATTCGACAAGCTTCTTACTTTATCTAACAGTGGAAACAATACCTGCCAGAGCACGGCTTGCCACGTTGGTTGATGCAAGAGGCTACCGTGTGCGGATATGGTTGAGAAGAGGGTTTGACTTGCCGATTTGCGTACAGCGGGTCGCGAATCGACGCATAGATCTCCCAATCTTGCATAGAGACACATCCAGAGTTTATCAAACGGTGGCATATTTGTAGTGCCAGGAAAATCAGGGAATACTGATGATGAATCTCCGCGCAAGCAAACGCACAATTTCTCTTGGTTCTGATAGAAGTAGTCGCTTATGTTCCACATTAGACCGACAGCCGTGAGCGAAATATTCAATTCTTGCGTCTGCGATCCAAATTTAGCGGCTGTATCGACACACAGTGGAAGACATCGCCAAGGCATCACCGGCAAAAAATCGGTTACAACTAACTGTAAACATTGGAAAGCTATGCGCACTAAAGCCTCTCCGTGATGATCGGAAACTGCTCCTATAATACCGAGGACTAAAGGCCAGCCATGGTACAGCGTCTCCCCAGCCCCATGAAGCACTTGCAAAACGCATTCCAGCTGTCGCTGCCTAACGTCACCGTGACGCACCGACGATAACTCGGACAATGGTCCCAACAGTAATGTTTGCAACTTCTGATTATCGCGAAGTGGTTGTGGATATTTATGTTGAAGAGCCATTTTGACGAGATATGTGATCGCTTCCACGCCCCATTCTCTCATACGAATGTGTGGATGCTGACAAACTTCCAACAAGTGATTCGTTAATGGTCTCCAGAGCACTTCTACACGTGGTAAGTTCACTAAACCTGTCTCTAGAAGTTTAGCAACAGCAAACAGAGAGGGTTCACGGTTAGAATATGCCAGCTCCATCGCCTCGTGACTCAGTTTACATAGGGCATCTATCAAGTGATGCAGGGCGACATCATCAAGATGCTGACTGCTCTCGAATAATCTACTAAGCATAGCACTGAGTACAGGTAGATCCGCCATAACTGCGTTTGTCAGCACAGCGTTCGGATCAGCCGCGGTTCTCCCAGCTTTCAATGATCCGCCAGTAGAAGGTTTTAAACCAAGTATCCAAACGAGATGTTGAAGAGTAGTAAGTACCAAATGCCACGCGCTACCAAGTATGCTACCGTGACAGTGGGCCAATGATAATAGTGCACGCATGCATTGTAGATTTTTCGCGGTCAACATGACGGGACCTTGATGAGCACCTGGATATAAATATGATAAGATTAGCAAAATGTATGTAAATAAATGTACGTAATTGATGTATGAGTGAACTATCATCCTACCAATTGGTAAAGATGCCGTTGGTAGTGGCGTACCAACGGCTACCACTTGTTGCCTATAATCGGGCTCGCCCATTGTCAAGCTGTATTGAGTAGAGTCCTGTTGTCTCGCGGTTGGTATACCTTGGGGTGCGTTGTACAGTACAGTCAAGGCGTAATTAGGTGGTAGGGATGCTTTACATATCGCAGTAATGAAGGCATCGCGTGGCGCTTGCAAATCTAATTGGCCGCAAAGAGATGCGAACGTTTGAATTGCTTTTAGAACATTTTCTGTTGCCGATTCGTCCGTGCTGTAAATTCATAGATACATTTGTATTCACTCTACACTTTTTTCATATTACATAAAATAATAATTTATATAAGACTGCTACCTAGCATCTATTAATGGACTGAGGGCTGCCAACAGACCACACCAACTAGAGTTTATTAATTGTACATGAAGCTTTCGTTCGGATTCGCTCGGCTGATAGATAAAACTTTCACTATTATCGTCTTTCGAGCCATTTATAGCCAATGCGATAGATCGTATAATGTCTAACAGGCATGCATAGGCTATGCTGATTCCATAACCAATTGGTATTTGTGGCGGTTCGACTTTGTCTAACATTTCCAAACTGAAATAATCTTGTGTTAATATTTAATGCTGTTATTATATATACGAAGATTTAATATTATTGTAATGCTTACTAAGTTGGCTTAGCTTGTCCACTTGTAAATGTTGCTACTACTGGTAACCAAATACCGCGTGAATAAAAACCGGGTTGAGGTGATACACCAGGTCCAATAGGCATTCCAGTAAATAATGGTGAACCTGTGCTTTGAGGCATAGTTGTACTTGTTGCTGTTAAAATAAAGAATTGTCATATAATATTCCCGAAAGAATATACAATACATATGTACACACTTTAAACTTTATAATAAAAATGTAGAGAATTGTACTTTGCAAAAAGATTTTGAAATAAATCAAACTTTTAAAAATATAACAGATAATAAAGTAAAAAAAGGCAATCGGAATCAGCGTGGTTAATGGTTATACTCTTAAATATATTTCAGACGTTTCGGCTTATATTTTTAGCCATCTTCAGTGAATATAATATAAATCAAAGTCTCTCGATTAATCGTGAATATAAAATAAATCAGGTCTCTCGCTTAAAAGTAAAAATGTGTGCATCCAACTGCCACCGGTTAATGAGGGAATTGTCAAATTCTTCAATAATATCGTCCAAGCGCTGAAGAGCTGGATGTATTGTACAGCCACTGATACAACAGAACGCACAAAACCGCACCATTATACAAACAATTAAATACATCAAAATAAGCAAAAATGTACAGATCACGATCAATAAAAAATGTAATGTTATAGATCCGCACTCAAGAACTAAAAATCTAATGTCCTCATGAACCGAGGTGGCAGAATGCACACATTTTTACTTTTAAGCGAGAGACCTGATTTATTTTATATTCACGATTAATCGAGAGACTTTGATTTATATTGTATTCACTGAAGATGGCTAAAAATATAAGCCGAAACTGAAATATATTTAAGAGTATAATTCTTTGTTTTAATTTTAAACTGCGTACCATTAATCACGCTGATTTCCATTGCCTTTTTTACATTATTTTTAATATCGGAAATCTTGTAGATATTTATTGTGTTGATAACAGATAATCATTTAAGACATAATGTAACACACATGTACCTGTCTGACTCATCATTTGTGGATTTACGAAAAGGCTATGTACATATGCACCTAAGCTATTAACAATATCTTGAAAAATATTTGTAGCGTGTGGTTTCAAATCGTAACATTCGCAGAAGTTTGTCAGCAAATCTGCCTGAACTGTCATTTTGTGCAGAACTTCTAATGCTAAAGCTCTCTGCCAGGTAGGTTTGTCAGGATCCAGAAACTTCACAATTAAAGATAAGAATATTTCACATTCCGTCACCTAAAACATCAGAATATCACTTTAACTTGTGCTGACAATAAATTCATACACATATTTCCATGCATAAATGCTAATATATTTACCAATAAGGAATGATATTTCTGTATCAAAATCGACACAACTCGCAATAACCTCATACTAATAGGAAAGTAAGGTTTATCTAAAGGTGTAGCTTGTTGCAAAGATGCTGGCACTGAATTACGATATTTGATATTAGGCGAAAACAGTTTTATCACAAGTGCGCACACTCTCTCCTTCAGTAAGAAGCTAAACTCTGGATGCTAAAAAATATTTTTTTGTAATATATAATCCTCATGTAATTATATAAAATAAAAATTAATAAGTATTTAGAGACCGTGGAATGTTAACTAACAATTGCCAACTAAACTGCCAACACAGTACAAAGCGGATCTTGGTGCTTCCATATAATTTTTCGTGTGAATCTTACAATTTTCGGTTCATATTACACCACGTGGCGGCAAATTGCGTGCTTCTCCGCAGCTCCGAACCGAGTAGTATGTAATATCACAATTAAATTGCCGAAGGCAATCTAATAAATCGATGCTCAAAGCGTCTATTTAAAATCCTACTTAAGGCTCACTTGCATTTAATGAATTCCTCCTCCCTCGCAACGTCAAATAAATGCTAACTTGCATCTATACAAACAGTTCTCACCGAATCTGTAAAGAAATTTATTACGAAAAAATATCACCTCATGTTCTCAGGAATCGAACCCGGATCTCCACGTTTGCCGGACGGGCGTCCTGCCTTTAGACCACCGAGACATGTGATAACATTTATCGCAATAAATAATCTAGCGCGTTTTTCAAGCCGCGTAAATTAAAATATAAAAAAATATATATATATATATAGTTTGAGCGAACGTATTATCAAGGCGACGTATATAAATAAGTATAGATTTATTAGATGCAAGTGAGCATCAAGTAGGATTTTAAATAGATATTTTAAGCATCGATTTATTAGATTGCCTTCGGCAATTTAATTGTGATATTACATACTACTCGGTTTGAAGCTGTAGAGAAGCACGCAATTTGCGGCCACGTGGTAAAATAGAAAGGTTCTGCTAAAATAATTTTTTATTCTTAAAAATATAAATCAATTATTCACCTTAAAAAAAACTGATGAAAAGTTTGTTAAAACCGACTCCAACAGTTCCAAACCAAAAGTTCTGGTCATTTCAGTAATGCCTATTAGCCAGTACGGTTGATCGGCGTTCACCAATTGTACTAGATCCTAAAACCAAATGCATAAAGTAATCAATTATAATTCTATTCTAGATTTACATAATTACACAAGTATTACAATAAATAATAAAACCTGAAACATCAAATATGCATCTGCAGCGCAAGGGCCGAGACCTTTAGGTGCTTGATTCGTTGGAATTTTCAGTTCCTCCAAATTTACTTCATCAGGCTCTGGCTGATCGGAATTTTGCTCGTCCTCGGCAACTACTCTTTCAAATACCAAAGACACTAGTTGTCTTACAGTAGCACCGGCTGTATTTATCGTTGTACAATCCTTTGTGAAATGTAATCGGAAGCAAAGCACCAAATTCTAGAAAGACAAAATTTTGCAGCAAATATATTGAGAATGTTACTGAAAAAAGATAAAAATAAATATTCGTATATATAAGATCCTTACTCTTGCCAGAGTATCTCCATGCACCACGGCATTACTTGTAAGTAGTAATGTTACAGTCTGTAAAACTTTAACTTCCTCTGTACCCGATTCCATTAACAACCACAAAGTATCTGTAATATATCGGGCACCTTTCTGATCTACTGCTTGCTGTGTTATTAGTCTTTGCATCATGCCTAGGCAAAACTGAAAAATCATAATATATTATATAACATTATATATATATATATATTTTTTTTATTAAAGTATAATGTATAAACATAGTTTTTAATACCTTGATGACTTTTATGTCCTTACTCTCGCAACCTTGAACTAAAGGATAAAGTATTTGATTTACAATATAATATATTGGTGTCCCTGGATTACTTGAGGCTGTTCTCAACTTTGCAATTCCTTCCTCACATGACTGTAACAAATATGTAGTCATACATGTTACAATAGCTACTACAAATTTAAGTAACATATAGTATATTTTCTTAATATAAAAAAAATTATTTAAATTTACTAAATATTGCCACACTAAATTGTAGCCTTAGACGTATTAGTTTAGATTCCATATTTTTCAATATAACTCAAGTACACACAGACACATACATATTTAACAGATTCTAAATTTAATATATAAATATATCCTGTATGGAAGTTATAGATTGATATGTACATAGGGTGTCCAGAACTCAATGTAAAGCGCTCATGGGCAGGTAGTGAGCTAAACTGAATCGAAAAGGACCTTTTATATTACGCGAAAAGAACCTTTACTATTTCGCGATCTTCGCAATAGTTATCGAGATACTAATCATTAAAAAAAAATTTACGCCAAGTATATAAAAAAACATCGCGTACATTATATCTTTCCTAAAACCATTGATCATTTAGTCACTTTAAGCTTGTTTTACGAAACTTAAAATTATTTGGAAAGACAATGGCATTAAACTTTTGCTGCATATACTTTTGGCTGATTTAAACGGTTTTTTAATATTTCAATCTAAAAAATATTTTTGTCTCTATTCAAATACTTGGCAACTTGTATGATCTCATATTTGTTTTTGAACACCTTTTATTTGTTAAAATAATATTTTTGGTTTAGAAAAGATGTAATGTACAATACTTTTTTATATATTTGGCATAAATTTTTTCTTTTTTTAATGATTAGTATCTCGATAACTATTACAAAAATCACAAAATGATAGAGGACTTTTTGATTCGGTTTAGCCCACTCTATCTGCCCACGAGCGCTTTACCATTAATACTGGACTGTATATATAAATATATGCATGTTTCTTAATTCTTTCTGAGTTATAGTTTAATCTTCAATGAAAAATAAAATTTAATCAAAACCAAGATTAAAACTTTCCATTTCAAGAAACTAACTAATGTAGGATACAACAGATGGTCCCATGGTTACATACTTCCTTGATTTGCGGGTACTTCTTCTTGGTCTCCGAAGCAAGTACTTTGAGATCCGACTGCAGGACCTCCAGGAATTTGGAAGCATTCTCCGGATTGCTGCCGACGACGGCGGCGGCGGCGGTGCTCGCCATCGTTGACATCACCACCGTTTGCTCGCGTTTCCCCTATATCGGCACGGCTTCCGGGATTGAGGACATGACGGCTCGCTAAGTCCGCTCGGACCGAGTGGCTAAGCGCCACGGCGTTCGACCGTCGGGCGGTGGTCGAATTGGCACGCTCCGCCACGCCGATTGTCGATGACGGTGACGGCAAACAGGCGGCGACGGTCCATCGGAATCGCCTTCCCCAAGTCACCACGCTCGCGGATCACATCGATCACGGGTCGCCGCGGATACTCGGTAGAATCGCGCGCAGACCGCAACTAACGCGACGTCGACGTTCTTGTGCCGACGATTCTCCGCTCCGTTCCGCTCGGCTCGTGTGCTCGAGATTCACACTTCCTTAGATAATGGCACCTGCCTCTCAATGAAGGTCAATACGGTACAAGATTCACGTAACTAGGCGCAACTGAGGAGTCTCCCGGCCGCGATCGCACGATACCCTTTTTTGTTTATTGTTGACTCGAGACTTTTGATTATAGGGAAGATCTATACGGCCAATACGACCGTACATAAACTTGACACAATTGACACAAACTCACAGACCACGTATGCAGCAGTGCGGCATTACTACGCTGTCATCAGTGTCATTGCGACTACGGCTACAGTCGCGTTTACATGAGATAGATAACGAATATTATTGGTCTTAACTTCATTGGTTCTTACAACCAATCACATTAAACTATACTGCGTTCAGGAATTCACGGTACATACATCATTTCATCCTTGTTATTCACCAAATGTTAAACAAGGATAAAACGATATCTAGACATGGACCTAAGAATACATGGACGGAGCGTTGTGCGCGGGGTAACAAATAATAGCGGCAAAGAGGGAGCTGCCATAGGCGTAGGAGCACTACTATGACTTCGGCTAATTCCGAGCGTACTCGGAAGTGTTCGGTATATACGTGAGAGACGCAGGTTATGTGGTAGTGTGGAACCATCAACGACATATATATATAGACCGAGCATTCTGTCCACAGCATGAAGCCGAAAGTTGGCAGAATACGACTGAGAGAGATAGCATTTGCGGGGAATGCTGTATCATTTTATCT